TAGTTCTACGTAATTACTTACTTTAACTTACGTTTATTAGTTATACTATATATATATATATATATATATATATATATATAGTTATTACCTTAAGAAACACGCTGCCCTTTTAGTCATTGGGCCGTGCAAATATCAGTCATAAATCAGAAAATTTGGTGTTAGATGTTGCAAAATTAATATTATTTTTCTACCTGTATCAGTGGTAATTGTTAAATACTGTACAATTTAGTTCCCTGTTGTTGTTGTTTTTTTCTAAAAACAAAACTAATTCTTATATATTTATTTTCCCAGTGTTAGATATCGTTGTTTGTTTCGGAATTTTGAACAGAGCTTCACAAAAAAACATCTGCGCATTTGTCGTCTCAAATCATTTTGATATGATAAATTAGAGGGAAGATAGCTATATATATATAATAAAAGCATCCACCGCCAACCCTTGGGGTTACTCTTGTCTGATCGAATGGTGGAATTTCATTTGACTGCCACTCTTATAATACGGAGCGCGATTCTGCGACAACGGAACGCGAAAAAGAATCCTTGGATTCACTATCCGGATATGCTAGCCACCACGCCCAACTCGTTAAAAGGTTATTTTTTTGGCCATGTAGCTAAAACATTTCCATGAATGATCAAAGCATTTTTCGTCCTGTGTCATATCCTATGGACGTGCACATGACGCGTCGCGTTATTATTCAACGCGCAGAAAGTCACATGGTGAACCTATCAATAAACATGACAGTGTAGTAAGATAAAAAAATAAAACACGACTGATAATCCTCGAGCCTTCTTCATGCATCACATTTTCCTATAGTCCAAGTAGGCCTTGGTCTTTTATTATCCCTCTCACACACCCGGCAGATGAACAAGGACTTGAAAGTTCAACAGACAGACTTGTCCAAGTGTTCAGTTGGGCACTGTAATCCCGTCGGTTGACTGATGAGAACTGGAATTCTTAAAGTTTATTTTTGTTAGCCGGCAGAGGGCACAAAAAGCCGAGTGTTTGGCGAAATATGAGCAGCTTGTCTGGACAACCTATTAGGGTGGAAAAAAAGGGGAAAAAAAAGAAAAACAACATGGAAGGATTGGAGCACAGTTAGGATCGGTGTCAAAAGGCCTTTACGGAAGCATCAAAAAACTCTACGGGGTTCAGGGAGTTAGATAAAAATAAATAATGGTAAGATTAAACACTTTCATAAAGTTTATCGGCAACGTCATAATGGTAAAGGTGTTTTAACATGGTTTATAGTTCGAAGAGCTTTTTTGTTCCGTCTGCTTACATTTATAATAGATAACATGATTGCAATTCATGTTTTAGTTACAAGAATAGTTAGCAAGAGTAAAGGGTTCATTCCTATATATCTGTCCCTACAGTGACTCAGGGGTAATCCTGAGAGTTTTTACGCTAAAATTCGGGGTTCGATACCCGTGGCTGGCATCGCTCAGATAGCCCATTGTATAGCTTCGCGCTTCATACAAACAAAATTTTATTTTTCCATGTTTTGTTTTGTTTGTTTTTTGTTCTTGCACAATGCGCTAACACCTTTTGAAAAAACAACATTTATAAGGATTCAAAGTTTCTCGATATAACATGACCATGTATGTTTCAGTACTTAATATCATATTAAACATGTGATTATGAATATATATACAAGATAAGGTTCATTTATCAATTCTGTTTTATAAAAGTTACCCAGAAGTAACAAAGGTATTGTTTATTGTTCGATGGTTTACATAAAAATCAACATTTAATACGAAAGACGTGTCACTGTTCTTTAAAATATTATTATTAAAAAGAAATGTTCTTCTTGTTTTTTACAAAAAAATTTATCTTGTACACTTAATCAAACAAATGTTTATGTTCGTCAAAATAGCTTCGCCAGCTTCTTTTTACAAATGATATTTTTGTCTTGGAGTTTTGGTTTCAATGGTCTCTAGAGAGGGATAAGGAAGGAAGTCCTCCAACTCAATAAACAGGTGGGAGCAGCCCATTAAAGCCAAAACTCTGTTCACAAAACACCCGAAGAAAGCCTCAGTATAGAAGCCGAAACGTTGTTCCGCTTTAGAAACAGGCAGGAATAGTTCATTAATTAAAACCAAAACATTCTAAACAAAATACCCGAAGAAGAACTCAGTATAGAAACCGAAACGTCGTCTTACTGAAGAAACAAGCAGGAGCAATCAGTTGAAACCAAAACTCTACCATGTTTACACTGCCTAAAAATACCCTTGAAAACTGTATCTTTATATTACATTCTAGCTGTAATTTTAATGAACGATACCTATAGCAGTAGCCATTCGCTTTAGTTTCTGTGTGGTAGCGTTGTTTAACTTATGTAAAGTTTGAAATAAAAGTACAGTGAGAGAACAAGAAATTTCTGGATTGTTTTCATTTGAACAATATGATAAGTTTACGATAACTTTAAATATCGTCTTACATTTCATTTCTCATCACGAAATACATCAAAATTAGTTTACAACGCCTGGTGTTGTGTCTAAAAATAAACAACTGGTATTGGATAAAAGGTGACTTTAAAAAAAACTCATTATTTTCATAATATAAAGTATCCTGTACTGCTATGATCTTTTTTTTTTAATACGTGCATGTAAAAGCATTTCCTAAAATGCGAATATGTCTATTTATACAAAGTTTATGGAGTTGTACGTAATAGCTCTAACCCTAGAACTACCAGCTGAATCCAATGAACCAAATCTACACGATTAAAAGGTTTGTTCGTATGTAGCTAATTATAAAGTTACACGATAGATTTTCTATGTTGTGCCCAACACTGGTATCGAAACCAGTTTTTAGCGTTATAAGCCTTCAGAGCCACTGAGGGTTAAACAAAATGATGAAATAAATACAATAATAAATACAGGAATAAATCTATTTTTAATTGTGCTTATCTTATAATAGTTATTATATTGTATAATAGTTGAGTACTGGGGTCACTGGCCCAGCTGATAAGAGGAGTTACGAAATCTACCCGGTAGCTCCAGGGTTAAATATGTCTCCATTAGATTTAACGAAAAATATTTTGTATAACTCTCAGATGTTCCAGTTGAGCTGGGCATTCGTGAAGAAATAAAACATTCTATTTCTATTAGTAGCTTGAAGATCGTAGGTTACTTTGTAGGTGCAATTCTAGGAAGAATTCCTTATGAGGCACCGCCTATGTACTAAGACGGGATTACTCTTGAAATAAACACTATATAGACGTTACTGGAAATATAGTGAAATGTTATCTACAATCTCTAGGTGGAGTCCTTGCTCTATAGCCGTCAAATTCCCCCCATTCATGAAGTATACGACGAAAACAGACCTCCATTTGTCAAGTTGACTGATCACCTGCAGACGGAAAGTAAAAACCCAGTAATGAAACTTCGATATGCCATCAACATGCGTGGTAGACAACGGAATCTCGCTGCTAAGTGCGAGATAAGAAGCGTATAAATGCAGTCCACGTTTAGAGGTACAGATATGATCATTAGCTCTATATTATTTAGGGTACTTTTCTCGGTCTGGCTTCAACATGGCCGCCGAAATTTCTAGGGTCTTTAATTGCTTAAAAAAAACCAAAAAAACACGATTTTGAATCACAATGGAAACCGAAAAGACTCTTTTATCTGTTTATCCAAGTCGTGTCTTTCTAGCCTTGTAGAAGGAAGAAGACATGCACAGCCAACCTTTACTCCCACTATGATCAGTTGGGCGTTATTCAAACAAATTGTTGACCAGTTGTAGATATCCCA